TCTCCGACTCAGGAATTTAGTGCCACACTATCAGTGATTGGTAGGTCCAGTCGGGTGGAAATCTGTAGAGGTAGCTGGACTGAACAGCGTCGTCAATCACCTGGGTGTAATTGACATCTATCGACTACTTCATTCAACAACCGCAGAATACGCTACTTTTGAGGCTCACATGAAGCATTTACCAAGATAGACCACACTCTGGGCCATAAAACTCGGTTTAACAAATTTAAAAGGATTGTAATCATATAAACTATATTCTCACACCAGAATGGAGTTAAAGTAGAAATCTTATTTCTAGGAGATAATTGGAAAATTCCAAAATATTTGGAGATGGAGCCATACACTTCTAAATGACACATGGGACAAAGAAGAAATCTCAAGTTGAAAAATAATTTGAAATAAATGAAATTGAAGATAAAACTTATGAAAATTTGTGGGATGCAGAAAAGGCAGTATTTAGAGAGAAATTTGTATGATTGAATTTGTATATTAGAAAAGAAAACCAATCCCAAATCAATAGTTTAAATTTCCACCTTCCACCTTAGAAAAGTAGAGAAAGAAGAATGATCTAACCTCAAGCAAGAAGAAGAAAATAAATAATAAAAGTCAGAGCACAAATCAATGAAATTAAAGACGAGAAAACAAGAGATTCGACAAAACCAAAATTTGGCTCTTTGAGAAGATCCATAAAATTGATGATCTCTAGCCATGCCAATCAACAAAAAAGGGAGAAGACACAAATATTAGAAATGAAAGAGGGGCCATTTCCACTGAACCAATGGATATTAAAAAGATATTAACGTATATTGTGAACAGCTCTGTGATGCTACACTGGAGGTCCTAACTAGTAGTCCAATAAGGGAAGGACAATAAGTAGAAGATTTGTGAATTGCAAAAGTAGGAATGGAGCCATCATTCTCAACTAAAATATTTATGTATAAACTGCTAAAATTTTTAAGTGAGTTTACCGAAATAAAATTAACATATGAATTTCTGTTTTATCTCTGTATATTAGCTGTAGACAATTAGAAAATCAAACATTTTAAAAGTTATTATTTCCAATTAGTATTTAAAAATACAACTATATGCCCACAAGTTTGATGAATGAGGAGAAACGGACCAGTGTTTTGAGAGACACAATCTCCCAAAACTCAGCTGAGAAGAAACTGATAATCTGGGTGGGGATATGTCTATTAAATACATTGAATCAATAATTAATAACTTTCCAAAACAGAAGGTGCTGGGCATAGATGGGTTTCCTGGTGGATTCTGTGAAACATTTAAGGAAGAAATCATCCCAGTTCCCTACAATCTCTTCCAGGATATAGAAGTAGAAGAAACACTTTCTAACTCATTCTGTGAGACCAGCATTACCATGATATTGAACCAGATAAAGAAATTACAAAAAGGAAAATTATGGGCCAGTATTTCTTTTGAACACAAATGCATAAATTCTCAACAAATATTAGCCAGTTGAATCCAGCAAGGTTCGAAAAGAACTATACACCACAAACGAGTTGTTGAATTTATTCCAGATAGGCAAGGCTGGCTCAACATGTTGAAATTAATTAATAAAATTCACCTTATCAACAGGATAAAGAAGAGAAATCACATTAATGGATGCAGAAGAATTATTTGACAGCCTAGAACACTCCTTCCTGATTTAAAGAAAAATTTCTCGTCAAACTACATATAGAAGGAAACTTCCTCAACTTGATAAAAAAACACCTATCAAAAAAAACCTGTAGCTTAACCACATGCATAATGATGAGAAATGCCTTCCCCATGAGGTAAGGAGCATGGCAAGCAAGCCCCTCTCACCACTCCTATTTGACATTCATGCTGAAAGTCTTAACTAGTGCAGTAAGACAAGAAAAGGAAATAAAGGTACATGGAAGGAAGGAAGGAATGAAACTCTCTTTGTTCCTAGATAGCATGAATGTTTATGTAGAAAATAAAAAAGAATCAACAAAATATCTGCAATTA